AACAAATTACATTAGCTATGAGCAGGCACCATTCACAGAAGTTGTCCCCATCCACTGTAGTGTTGAGTTCAACGTGTACTGTCTGTAAGAGGAAAACATGAAACTGTTCTATCTTTCTTAAGGGGCAAACAGCATCCAGGGGTCATTTTAAAAGACCACATATCCACCTGTAACCAACATCAGTAATAAGAACACATTTACATTGTCACAGCGTTTTTTTTTTAAATAATTCCTGTTACATGGCCTCCACCAAAAGTCAACCATTGTTACCATCTTCTCCAGAGAGCTCCCACACAAAGTAAGGGCTGAATGCCATCCTCATCTCCAATCTGGTAACTATTGGCAAACGACTGTTAGTAGTCACGGTCAGATCTGGCTGCTGGACCCGGAATGTGTTTACATTTTAATATTGCCTCCTAGCTTACAGGAAATCATCTATTCCCATCAAGCCAAAACATCATTTTTTTTCACCATATATTTGTAGCATATTGTATTTACAGTCTCAGAATTTTTAAGTGTAAGAAGGAGGTGTTACTGACATATTTTCTAAAGCAATTTAAAATTTCCCATTCGTATACCGTCTCTCTCTGTGCCAGTCAGGTGACTAATGCAAGGCCCGCAGAGTAGTTTCATACATTGCACAATAATTTGTAGGGATCCTAGCAACAACTGTATTCGGTAAAAGGTATCCATTATATTCAGTGACCTAATGTTTATCACACTCGGTAAGCGACACTCATGGCTACTTCATTTAGGTAGTTTATGATGCTGAACTACTGAACCACACAGCGGGCCTCATTCCCAACGCAGCGGCACGGCCACTTGTGTTGTAAAGGCTATTTCACTGCACAGGATGCTGTGTACATGCAAAATGCTCTTGATAAAAAAAACCCCAAAGCTCAGAAACATGCCTGCTTCTTCTTTAGACAGATGCAATTGCTCCTGCTTAAGCTCACACGCAGTGATAATAGCTAGTGGAAGGAGCTCTGTGAATCCCCCACAAAGGCCATGGTTAGACATTGAACTATGACTGTGATCCATGAAACAAGAACTTTAGGTCATTTTGAGGAAGCACAGAAGACTTCCTAGGCTCTGCAGGTGAGGCAGCATGGCTTTGGTGCAGGAAGCAAACCCAAATCCACATGAGAACTAAGGTTACTCCTAAAAGATGATCCCTCTCAGGTATGTAGGGCCTCCAGTGGCATGAATTTCAGTGCTACAGTTTGTACTTGGAAGCTGACAAAGGTAAAGGAGAGATGCAAGTGCCCCATGATGAAACCTGGTTGACTTTGAAGGTTGCCATATTTTGATCAGCATGAACTGATGGTGTTTGTGCACCAGAGACCTTCTCATGCTGTGTCTCGTGACCGAAGGGAAAGAACTGAGACTGACATTTCTTACAGTTGCTTCTCAGCATCTGCTAGTGGCATCTCAAGTCTTCAGCCAGCAAGTCCCTAATCAAGCCCTGGTTCTCAACAAGATATTTATAAATTCAAAATACTGCACTGCAGCAAGCGACACTGGCATAAATTCCTATCTGTCATCCCCCAATCAACTCCTAGCACAGTGATCAATCTTTTTCAAATTCAGATGATCTTAACTACTCAGTATCTAGAAAAAATACTACAAGAAATGGGCAAGATGCCATCCAGGACAATTTAGGGCCACTGACCTATCCAACAGCTGTAGTTCCATGTACAAAAATTTCTGTCTCTACTGTAATGTATCTCGATCATCATCTCTACCATGGTCCTGATGACTGACTACAATATTGGCACAAGAATTAGTGTAAACAAGGTTAAAATGTGGTTGCAATGCTCTTCCATTACCTTTCACCTGCAGTAGGTAATTTTTGCCCAGAAGAGAGCTTGCGGGGCACTGAGGAGGCATCACCAAGATGCTGACACAAGGACACAGTTGATCACACAAAGTGGTGTTCTCACCTATTTCCCATTTTACTGAGCTTTAGTGTTTGAGGACACACCAAGGACCAACTTAACACTGGCTAAGAAATGAGTAAAGGACTGAGACTTTTCCATAGCTCGTCTTTGCTTCCCCTACACAGCATGCAGCGGGAAAAACACTCCCAGACCCTGTGTAAAGACACTGTCGCGCTGGCAACTTTCTGCTGCACCCCAGTATATATCTGTTTTCACAAAGTAAGTTATATTACTATATTTCATATTATCCAGCCAGAAAAAGCCTTCATGCGATCCCAGGGAAAGTATTTCCAATACAAGATACCATACCTTTGCAGAAAAATTGCATAGAGCTTACATATACTTTGTCAGATCAGTTTTCTAATCTGGCTCACCAGGCAAAGCTCACTGGTGTTAGGATGAATAACTTGCATTTCAGTACATGCTGTTACTGCCATTGCTGGAACCCCTGAGAAAGGCAGAGGGAGAGGGTACAGAGGAAAGGACTGCTTATAAATCTGCTCCTGTAGGAAAATGGCAGCAGGGTTAGAACCAAACAGCAGGACCCCCACAATGGACAGAAGGGGTAGGGAGCAGGGCTGCTGTGCCTGGACATGGCATAGCTTCAGCATCCCTGCAGGGCCTCCTCTGACAGTCAGGACAGAGTTACCAGCAGGAACCAACATCCACAAGCATCTCCCTGGCTGCATGCTGGCTCCAGCTGCTGCCGCTGGAGTGAGTCAAATCCAAATCCAGAGGATTTTAAGGGAAGATGAACCCCATGGGTCACATCCAGTATCTGTAAAGCTGAGCCACTCAGCCTGGCTGGCCAAAACCAACAGTGGCTGCAAAATCATGATAAAACACTCCAGCTTGAGGATTTCTGTGACAGTACATCACTCACTGTGCCTCTAGGGCTCATCAGCAGGGACAACAGAGGCATTTCTTAGGCAAGTGAAGTGAATGACACAGCAATTCTAACTATATCACCACCCATCTCCCACATCTGCTCTGAGCCAAAATCGATGCAGTTGCATTCATGTTAACAGAGACTTGGGAAAATTCCCCTGAAGGTGATTTGAGACAATAGCGTTGGACAGATCGCATGTTTTTTTTTTATTTAGGGAAGGAGTTAGTTGATTGTCATGTTTGGTTTAGTTTTGTTCTAAGATAGAAAATTAATATATTAAGTTAATACAAAAATAAGTAACACTTATGAGGGCTATTACTCAAGATCATTCACTCTGCTGCAGTTCATTTCCCCAGTGGCAGAAGTCTGCTCCCAGACAGCAGGCTTAGAAGGCATTTATGAAGGAGGAAGTTTTCTCCAGTGCCAACTAAAACCGTTAAAAAAATAAAACAGCATTTTCAGTTGTAGAATGTATGTCCTAGGTCATCATTACCTTAATGTCAGCAACTTCCTCTCTCTCTGATTTAAAGGAATCCTTACAACTATTGTTGATTTAGGAGATACATCAAAGCTAGCAGAAACATTTGAAGCACTGAATGCACAAAAGAGGTGATTTATAGAACACTTATGAAAATGTCAAATACAAACATTTGGCAGTCTCTTGTACAGTAAACCAGAGCTCTGCTTTTTAAGCAGTGCTTCAGGTATTCTAACCAAGTGATATAAACTTCTGACGGGAGCAATCTCACCTGTCTCATTCCAGCCATACAGCTAGTAAGAATAACAGGATATTTTTTTCCCCCCAGTTCAACTACACAGTAAGTTCTAGCAAACACGAGCAAGAAGTTAAAGTTTGGCTACACCTTAGTGCTCCAGGAAAGCTCTCAAGGGCTGCTTGTATTTGTGGAAGGGAGCTCTGCCTGGCCAGGGGCTCCAGGACTGAGCCCTTCCTATGGCATCCCTTGTAGCACTGGTTCAAGCAGTCACTAAAGTATATCTTAAGTTGAATCACAGCTCTAGAAGACTGAAACAAACCAGACAGGGAAACAACAGAGACAAGACACTTGAGCACTTCACCATGGTATTATTTAAGTGTCATGCAATACATCTAGGTATGGCTTAGGTGATGGGTTTGTATTGTGGTCAAAGAGTTTCAAGCAGATGTTTCTTTCAGGGAAACTTAGGGATGTTTACACTTGGGCCGAATCGGAACATCCATCACATCTGATGTGTCCAGCAGGATTTCCTTAAAGGCTCAACTGTATCACTCCAGAGGAGAAATGCCTTGTAATTGGAGAAGGACTTCTAAAGAAGCCTCTGGATAAGCAAGCAGGTCTTTGTGGGGCAGATTGTTTCAGTGGTGGGAAGGGAGATGCTTAACCAGAGCTCATCTGTAGGAGAGCAGGTCAAACAGACAGGACTGAATTACAGGAGACTCATCCTCGGCAGAGCTGAAAACTTTGAGTACTGCAAAGCACCTCCAGTTCTCAGGTGGAGCTGAGGACACATGTTTCCCTGGAAGTCCTTCTGTCAACTGGACTCCCACTTAGTCAAGAGAAAATTACCCAGTCCAGGTGGCTTTGATTTCAGCTCTTTTTAGATGCAGTTCAGAACAGGCAGGCACCACAAGCTGCAATGAGGGACAAAATGTCTCTCTCCAAAGCCCACCCCACCCTTCACGTTTGTCACTTGTGAAAAAGCAAAAAGTGAAAAAAGCAAGGAGGTGGGGGGGGAATAAGAGTGTGAGGTTTTTTTTCTCCTGCTTCCTTGTGTGCAGCCATGAGTCCCAGCAGCCCCTGCTCAGGGTGCTACAGCAGCAGAACCAGGGCCATAACTCCATGTCTACATCCGCTCCAAGGAGATAGCAAAGGGCTGGTTAGACACCACCTAACCCCATGTCTGGAGTGAACGTCCCAAGTTTCCCTGTCCCTTGTCCTGGTCTGCTGGGACTCTGAGTGTCAGTGTGTCCCCCAGCTCAGAGCAGGTGCACATACTCCTCTCACTGAAACAGCTTCTCCAAGGGACCCAACTAGTGTTTTCCTTTTGGTTTCTCAAACTTTTGTAAAGGTGGTTGTGTTGCCAAGTGCTTGAACAGAGCTATGGCTCCAAGCAAGTGCTCAGAAAAGCTAGTGTTACACCTTAATGGCCTAACTCTGTTTCTGTCTCCACAGCAAACATCTTGACAGTCATCATCCTTTCCCAGCTTGTGGCTCGCAGACAGAAGTCCTCCTATAACTATCTTCTAGCTCTAGCTGCTGCTGACATCCTGGTTCTCTTCTTCATTGTCTTTGTTGACTTTCTCATGGAAGACTTCATCTTAAACAAACAGATGCCTCAGGTACTGGACAAAATAATTGAGGTCTTGGAATTTTCTTCCATCCACACCTCCATTTGGATTACGGTTCCACTAACAATCGATAGGTATATAGCTGTGTGCCATCCACTGAAGTATCACACAGTCTCCTACCCTGCTCGTACTCGGAAAGTCATTGTAAGTGTCTATATCACCTGCTTCTTGACCAGCATTCCATACTACTGGTGGCCCAACATTTGGATCGAAGACTACATAAGCACATCAATGCATCACGTCCTCATCTGGATCCACTGCTTTACCGTTTACTTAGTGCCCTGCTCCATCTTCTTCATCCTGAATTCCATCATTGTGTACAAGCTGCGGCGCAAGAGCAATTTCCGACTGCGAGGGTACTCCACAGGGAAAACAACAGCCATTTTGTTTACTATAACTTCTATTTTTGCCATACTTTGGGCACCAAGAATAATCATGATTTTGTATCACCTCTATGTATCGCCTATAAACAACAGCTGGGTGGTACATATTGTGTCGGACATCGCCAATATGCTAGCACTGCTGAACACTGCAATTAATTTCTTCCTCTACTGTTTTATTAGCAAAAGATTTCGCACAATGGCAGCTGCCACACTGAAAGCCTTCTTTAAGTGTCAGAAGCAACCTGTGCAATTCTATACAAACCATAACTTTTCCATAACAAGCAGCCCTTGGATTTCCCCAGCCAACTCTCACTGCATCAAAATGCTTGTTTACCAGTATGATAAGAATGGAAAGCCTATAAAAATATCACCATGAAAAGGGCAATAGTTGGAGTTTCTGGGTGCAAGTTCTTTTCAAGTGGTTACATCTTCAGGATGTAATTTGCTGAAATGGCTGTTTTGAAGAGTGGTCATTTGATTTCATTTCCCTGGGAGCCTGAGGGCAGATCAGACTGTTAGAAGGGAACAGTAGCACTTGATTTTAGGAGCAGAAGTGAGAAAGCAAACACCTCCGTCTCCTACGCAGCATTTTGAATATGCTTCAGAGTTCAAGTCTTAGTGTTCAGTCGCACTCAAATGTTTTGCATCCCAGCACCAGTGCAGTCCAAAGTCATTGGAGAGGGGAAGCCACAACAGTGTTTAATTACAACCTTTTAAAACACAACAACAAAACCTTACTTGACCATGCGGTTCACTATTGACAGATGCTTCTATGTACTGTGGAAGGCACCATTTCTGGTGTGTGCATTTGCCAAAAATGATGTGTTGGTTCTGACATGAAATACCACCACAGTCTTGCTGTCAAGACCTTGTTGCAGGAGGCAGCCTGCGAGACATGAACTGTAACAAGCCCGTTTTGGCTCATTTGAGCAAGGCTCGAGGACTGATGTAGTACCTGTTGCAGCCTTGGCATGGAAATCCTGCAAGCTGCCAATATTAATCTGTTTTAAGTTATTTAAGAATGTGACCAAGACAGGGGAGCTGGAGGGAGGGAGGTTTCTAGAGCCAAGAACAAAAGCAGCATCTTTTCCCAGCTATTTCAGTTATGGTGTCTAAAGTCTTTGAAGTGTGAGGCCAAGTTCTGCCTGATGCAGAGCTCCCACCAAAGCTGCTTCTGCAAGATTTGGAGTGATCACAGCCTTCAGCTTCCTTCTTAATTAATAAAAATTCTCAGTTATCCCTTGTCTTCAGCTATTTAGGGATTAACATATGAAAACTTCAGTCCAAGATTTTTCCTGACGGATTATGCCATCCTATTGCAGAATTGCCCTTTGTTTAAAAAAAACCCACTATTTGTGAAAAAACAATCCATTAAATACCCAACAGCAGTAAAAACATAGATCAGTTCAGACTAAGGCTTTTAAATATTTACCTTATTTAAAGTAGCTTAACTTCTCTCCCTTCGCACTCAAAAACCAGCACCCCAGCAATGCTGAGTGTATGAAAACGAGAAAAGGTTTACAGGAAGGCTGAAAGTGCATTTCTTTTAATTTCTCTCCTTTTCAGATCTTGGCACGTGGTGTCTCAGAGCCACATACCACAACCTTTGAGTGTATGAAAACGAGAAGAGGTTTACAGGAAGGCTGAAAGTGCATTTCTTTTAATTTCTCTCCTTTTCAGATCTTGGCACGTGGTGTCTCAGAGCCACATACCACAACCTTTTTACTTCTATATTGGGCACTTAATGCAGCCCTACTGATCGTGAGAGCAGACTTCCTTGCATGGTGAACACAAGCACAATGTGGTCCCAGCAGCTTCTCAGTAACTGGAAATAAGAAGTAGCCCGGTGCTAGCACTGCGTTTGTGCCTGTGCCCATCTCCATTGCCAGTAGGGAGCTTGTGGTGACCTAACATAGTGAGGTCCCCTGAGAAGGGAGCCAGTCAATCCCACTTTGGTGGGATTTGAGGGCTGAAATCATCTCTCTAAAAACTCATGGATGGCTCAGCTTTGGTGCATTTTCCCTAAGAAACATCAAGACTGCCAAAGTCCTGCTGAGGACAACAGCCTGGTTCCCTTCTGCCACAAAGGTTGCATTACTGACTCATACTGGCGTCCTGCAAGAGCAAAACCCACGCCAAACCTGAGCACACCTTCCCCAGGAGGGAATGGCAGCAGAAGGCACAACCCATGGAGACCAGGAGACCAGGCTTATGCATTGGGGGGGTGTGAGGTGTGTCTTTCTCAGGAGAGATTGAGGCTACTCAGGTCAGTCAGGAGCACAGAGACAGGATGCCCAGCTCTTCAGGGACCATGCACCACCCTGTCCTCTCCCACCAGCAGAGCAGTTGGGAGAGCTGCAAGGTGCTGGAACACCCCAGGAACCACACTGGTTAGAGCAAGGAGGGGCATGTCTGGGGAAAGGAGAAGCTGAAAGTAAAAGCTGACCCTCCCCATCCTCACCCACCAAAGGGATGCTACTCACCCACATCTCCCCAGATTCAAAGGGATGCGAGGAGCCTCCTCATCCTGTGGGCCGTTTGTCCCTGTGATCTCAACAAAACTTCACACTTAACTTGCAATAATAAAGCATAAGAGGGATGCTCAGCCTTGCTGTATTTGTCACAGCGAGGTTAACATTATTACTCCCTTTACCAGTGTTTTACACAAATTCAATTTTGTGGCCATGCCTTCTAACCCTCCTCTTAGAAACCTCTCTCTAGTCTTTGTCAGTTGATAGTAACCAAAGTTACCTTATGAAAAAGGTACTGTATGTTTCATTTTGGGAAAAGACTGTATTTATAACTTATTTTTATTCTAAATTTGTTATGAGGAATGCTTGTCTGAGTTACATGTGAATGAGTCTGAAGTGCAATATCTCTATAGATAAGTGGTTCATTTTTGAGAATGTATCTATTGAAAAAATTATTTATACAAGAAATTCACTATTCTACTTAATATAATAGTAACCTTACAGAAAATAGTGAATGTTTAGGGCTTATTTATTAAAAAAAGTCAATTAAGTGCATGGCATACGCTGCCATTCACGTGGTGTGATTTATTAGTTTTTGTAACATAATGTTTATCCTGCAAACTAGCAGTGTCATCTGATTTTTCCTGTCCTGATAATGTATTTTTGTAAGTTACCATATTTAAAAACAAAATCTTTCACGTGAATATTTCATTTCCCACTAAAAATAACCCATTAAGTAGTTGTAACTTCATTTGAAAAGAACTCACAACCCTTTTCCATATCATTTTAGAAATTACAAGGTGCAATTTTCATGTACAGTGAATGGGTCATTTCATTTCTGATAATTTAGGGCTTTAAGAGCTTACTTCCAAAGCCCCTCAAAGTCAAAGGGAAAGTTGCTTGTGGGTTTTGTGGTTGGTTTTTCCAATCTGCATCAATTTAGGAGGGCTTTGGATCAAGCAGTATCTTGTTAACAGTCATTTGAAGCCTTCTTAGAGTCCAGTTTGGATAATAAAGCCTTGACTTTTTAGTCTGCCATATGGGAGCTGCTGTTGATAATACTTGCCTTATTTTTGGTTGTGTGAAGCATCTTGCAATGACTGTTGCTAACTAGCCAATGTCTTGCTGTATTATTTGTACCTCCTCATTTTCCAGTAGTAAAAACTTAACCAAGCACATATAGTGTCATTATTTAGGGAAAAGGTATCCTGGAGACAAAACCATCTTTGTTGTGGAGGCGGTCTTTTGTACTCTATTTAATTTATATTTCAAATACATACAATTAGAAACAATAAGCTGTGAATGGACAGTTTTACAATTACTTATAGCTATATGTCCTTGAAGACCACAGCTAGGAACAAAATACTTTTTAGATGAGTTGCTGGTATATAAAATTATGGGACCTATCACCTATTCAAATTGTGAATATTGATATTTTCATAAGTAGACAATATATTGTGTTTGACAAACTTGTTTGTACTATAATAAATTATGAGATGGTGCATAACTTAGTACTACGTTTGGAGCTATTGTTTGATATATAGATTCTTATTACATACTTTTGATTTATGGATACTTATGATATACTACACAAGACCAGTCCTTGGCAATCATTATTCAGTAAACAAGGCCTTGGATTATGGATGTTCATTCATTTGTTGAAAAAAAAAATCTGAAATATAAGATGTACAAATTATTACTGGCCCAATTCTTCATTTTGAACCAAAGACTCAACTGTTTAAAGTTAAGTTTAGCTGTTAAAGTCAATGAGTCCCTATCCCTAGTAGCAGTGGAAGGTTGGATCTGAGACCATTCACACCTGTCCAAAGCAGTGTGATGCCAGGAATCAGACTGGTGCCTCCAGCCAGTGCAAGCGATGGCTTACCCAGAGAATTGCACCCAGGAGAGCAAAACATACAACCTTAATTCATACTGTCAATCCATGACAGAATTAATGGTCTAAGCTTCCCTGCAAATAGGCTTTATTCATTCACAGGAGCTAGGGTAAATGGGTCAAATGGCAGTTTGATTCAAATTTGAGAACAAAATGGGGCATTAAACAGGAAATCTTCCTGATCCACTCTCCCTGTGAATGCACAGGGTTCACGTGTTTTACAGGCTGGTCCCCTTCTGTCTTTGAAAGTCCACTCATTTTGCAAAGACAGAAGGGGAGCAGAATTCCAACAGAACGCTCATCTGGAGATGAGCATCCAGAATCCCTGCTCCTTCAGCTGGTCACAAACATTTTAGATTCCATATGTTACTGTAGGGTATTTCAGTCTGTTGCAGAGATAAGGATCCCTCATGAAACACTGCACTTACAGATCTATATAGTGTTAAATATCTGAACATGATAAATGTATCTCTCTTATCAATCAAGAAACATAGGGTTAAACACACAAGAGAAGAGGCCAATCCAGGTAATGCCAGACCCGCTCATCAGATCTTCACACTGCAAAAGGCTTGGGAGCATATTTTAAAGTACAGCATTGGAGAGACACAAACTCAAGGGAAAGGGGCACTGCAGAAAGGGGCAGTGTCAGATTTGACGGAGCTTATTAGAGTTGTTCCTTATGGAGGGAGCCTGGGATCTGCCTGTCTCTACTTTCATTAACAGCTGCAGCATGAGAAGTACTGATGAAGTGTACAGATTAATAAAAAAGGCATTGTACCACTGGCGGAGGACTGAAGGAAAAGGTATTTTATGTAAGAACCTGATGACCTTGAAGATTTCAGTGATAAAAATGGGATGAATTCAATAGTAATAAACACAAGGCTCTCCACTTGTCTGCCTGTAACAATACAGTTGCTATAAAACCTCAGTAGTCAGAAACAACCAAGAACCCAGTTGTGCCAGCTGGGCTTGAATGATGAGTCACTAACATAAAGCAGCTGAGAAAAATCCCAGAATTTAATCACATTTCTAAAGATACAGCATAGTATTAATTGCATTTTGCAAGACTTCATGTGCCATATGCATATATATGCATCTCAAGGGATAAATAGCAATAGTTATAGAAGAACTTGATAAAGAAACAGAACTGGAACAAGAATAAGTGGTTATGAACTTTCCTCAGGTAAACATATACTTCGAAGACAGTCTCTAATTACCAAAGCAGGGATACTCACAACACAAGCCTTTCCAGCAGCCCTCTCCCCAGTGGTTTTCAACTAAGCCCCGGGGGGTTGGCAAAAAGGATTAAGAGACAAGGCAGGCAGCAGGATGGACTGGGACCATGCATCCTTGGAGCTGGCAGTCCCACGACCCTAACCTACACCAGGCCCCCATGGCTCCCAGGCAGCTTGGCAGGTCCCCAGCTCAGCTCAAAGGACAGCAAAGGTGGCCCCTAAGCCTGTTCACCCCACCGGGGCTGCTTCAGGGGAGATGGCCAGCAAAAGAGCCTTGAGAGCCACTAGCTGTTCAAAGAGATTTCTGCATGCAGCCACAATTAAGCTGGCAGCACTCGCCGAGGATGCTGCAGACAGGGGACCACCGCTAATGGATTCTCCATTGAACTCACACTGACTTCTGCTTCAGCTGTTCAGTTCTTTGAAAACCTCTTTAAAGCCACCAAGCAGAGTAGAATAAAAAGCAGCCTCACACAGTCTTGAACTGTTAAATAATAATCCCACTATTAGCAGGCTGGGGCTGGATTTGTGAGATCTGCCTTTCTGACAGCATGCAATTAATCCCCAGGAGTTGCCAGACACAACAAGGAGGTTGAAAGGCTCCAGCCTTTTGTAATAAATAGGCATCACAAATGAATTTACTATTAGCTTGCTACAGTGGACCAGAGACACATAAATATTTATTACAATTACAAAATTGTGTCCAAAAAAGATATTAAAGGCTAATGTTTTCCTGCCTTACCAACAGGCTAGAAACCTGCTCCATCTATTCCTCACTCAGCACCTCCTTTCAGCAGACTAAAGGGACAAGATAAACTGCGGGCAAAAGTATGATATTGAATATTACAATCAAAAGATTAATTTGCTGTAACACAGCAGTACCAGAGACCTTCAGCTGAGTGTGGCATCTCACACTGGCTGATGCTGCACAATGAAACAGTGCCTGACCTGAGGATGTCACAAGGACACACGATGTCTGGGCAGACAGCCTGCTGCCCCAGGAGATCCATCAGGTACAGATTAGCCTTGGTAACTGATCATGGGAAAGGCAATAAAATAATCTGGAATAAACAGAGGCATCTTGTGATGCTGTCCTTGTCATGGTGAGGAGACAGACACCAGGACGGGTCCTGCCACTGGAGCTCGACTGCTAATGGGGCTGTGACATGCACAGCACTGCAGATGAACAATGGTCTTCACACATCCCCAAATGAAAAGCAGCAAAGTGTGTCACAGAACAGATCAGCTTCTGGTGGTTTAAGACATCAGTAGGTCCCATGCTCGCAGTGTCACAGCACAGCGAGGCAGCCCAGCCACAGGAGAACTGCCCGGTTCCCTCCCCATTCAGACAGGTCTGCCTCACAGGTAGGGATCACCTCACAAGATGGAGATGCCTGTCACACTGTCATGTAAACAGCTCCTCATCACCCACTCATCCCAACCAGCAGGGAGAAATTAATCTCAGCTGCTGGAAGTGCCCAAAGCACAGCAGAGGAGTGCTACATGCCATGGCCCCAAGTCACTGCCTTCATTGCACAAGTGAGGGCAAATGAGCCCCGCTTCCACCAGCCAGGCAGCCCTCTTAAAAAAA